TATTGCTCGGACAGTAAACATGGCGAAGTACTTTGAACACCTCAACAACTATACCAACAACCTGATTTGTGCATGTATACACCTTTTAAAACAATATAAAACATACCATGAGGCTGGGGCTAATTGGCCACCTCCTGGCTCAACCTGCTACACAATTGAGCCTGAGGGCTGAGTCCAGCCTCTGAGGCGCATATCAGGGTCCCAGACATGTCCAAACTGGCCGAGGCAGGCCGGAACTCAGAGCTCATTGCCATGCCTAGAGGTATTCCCATTGAAATGGTTTTAGTTTCGTCGATTAGTCGAGAGTTGAAACCAATGAAAATCCATGCTTATACTTCCTTCCCAGAAGAACATTATAATGGAAATAGAAATACATCTTTACCTTTTCAAGTCATCAAGAGTTGGAATTACAGGTAGAAGATAATTCTTAAATTGAGAATCAAAACTCCGGTAACTTCCAGTACATCCATCCTCTTGTGCTTGAGCCACAGCAAATCTCTTAGCTTGTTCGATCATGGGGTCCCCTCGACCTTTTTGGTTTATTACAGCCTGCACAAACCTCACTCTAGAATGAACATATATACATTTAAAGGCTTAAGCTTTTTAATTCTTAAAAAGGTGTAGAGAAATCAGAGAAGTACCTCTATACCATGTGAGGAACTAGTAACTCTTCCACTCATTCCTGACGGTGAATCAAGAGCCCTGCAAAACAATGGTTAATTTCGTAACACATCTATCGGAAAGAATTGCTAAAAAGTAAGCCTCTCGACCACCTTAAAATCATTATGAATGGTTGGTAGTGAAACTATTGTTAAAAACCAAATAAATGTCTGAATCACTTTAAAATCATGGAGGATCATGCAATAATACGAACAAAGCCAAAGCCAAACCTTGTTGCATGATTCTTACTAAATCCTCAAGGGAGACAAACTATAAATAAATAAAAAAGTAAGTGATATGCCACATACATAAATACATAGCATGTCGGAACAGTAGTCAGACATAGAGTGTCAATTGTACTGTTCGTTCCAAAGCAAACAACGGGTGCTTTGCCTCATAAGCACTGATATTTTCCTATACATCCCATGATCAAAATTGATTTTATCTAGACGTATCCAACACGAAATCCAATTTGAGAAAGGAATATGGGATTTCATCTTCTTTTGCCCTTCAAGCTGAGATCATAGACCATGCAAAATCATGCTCATACATACTTGCATGCCAAATAGAACTTGTATTCATTGTATGCCAAATAGACAAACAAATTGAAGAGTAATAGAGACAAATCAAATTCTCAGGCCCATCTGTGTTATGAAATCTAAGAAGCTAAGAAATATGAATAATGAACAAGTGAGAAAATATTCCGTAAACATTCTCTTGTTTAATGTGTGACAATATCTTGTGAATTTGTTGATCCTCCATATTGTGATTAGAACTTACAAGATACAAAGCAGTTCAACAAATTTTTGTGGATCAATTCAGCTAATTATGTACTCTGAAAATGTGTACAAAATACAGCAGAAATTCAGCCATTGTTGAATGCATTCTTGATCCAAATATGTGATATAATGTTGACTGATTTTCTTGGAAATTGTTTGTGATCCTTCTTAATTGATTTCTTGATCATTTGATTAACCCTTTTGAGAAAAAATTGGGGCCAGTTATTGCTGAATACAGTGAGCTTGAATTTGAATGACACATAGGAGTAAGACCCGATTTATAATATGAGAGAGAGAACTCAAGAACTCGAAAATAGGGGGAAAGAGAAACAGATATTAAACATATTAAGTCTAAAACTCCGAGTATAAAAAATAACAAAAACAAGAGAAAAGAAATCCTCTAATAAATTTTGGAGTAAAAGACTGACATTTTCAATAATGGAAGAAGAGCCTCTCTATATTAATACTGTGGATTTTGGAAGACGAATAGAGAAAGGAGATGCAGAAAATATGAAAAACCTCCTCTTTCCCCTTAACTTCAAACCCCCATTAGGAAGTTGCTGCACCCGGTTTGGTAGGGTACCCAACCTTCTTTACCTCCAAAACACTGTAGAAGGTAGTGTTGCCAAACGTTGAACTCCTACAGTGAAGAAGAAATTTTGGGTTCTGGGACCCAAAATTTGTGTTGCCAAACACCCCCTAAGTAAAACAACGAAACCTACCCTAAAATGCTAAAAATAATGAAGCAAGAAACCTTAAAAACCATGAAAAAAGAGAATAAAAGCGGAGATGATGATAATGATTGATTGGTTCTTGTTGTTTGCGGAATTACACCTCAAGTTTGAATCCCTGGCACCAAGATTTAGTTACTCGGCTCGGGCCCGAGACTCAGGCCTGCTTGAGTCAAGTAACTGGAGCGAATCTAACGCGCACCGGTAGTGTATGAGACCAAAAAAGGCTAATCTTTTAAAAACTTTTGTAGAAAATAACAAAAAAGTAAAAAGCAAACTAAACTATGAACAATGTTAAAAGTCCAACAAATTTTGAAAAAAATATATAAAAGATAGAATTTGGGAAATAATGATTCATGACTGGAAACAATTTGGAAAATTCGAAATGGGGAAAATAGAAAAAGGCAGGATAAGATAAGAAAACTCATAAACCATCATCAAAAAATTCAATATTATATATAAAATATTTACACATTGATTTGGTAACCGAATTTGAACTTTGCACCAGCGTAACTCGGTGCAGTCCGAGTCCATTCGCACATGTTTTATAACCATGCCCAGTTCTGAACAGCAGTGAAACAGAAGGCCCTAAAACCCTAAAAACAATCATTAAACTAAAGAGAAAGAACCCCAAATAAATTAGACAAGAGTAAAAAGCAGGAACTGAATCAAAACCTTGACAGATGTGATTCAAAGAGTACCATCTGGAAAACCCTAAGGAACGATTAGAAAAGAGAGGATAATGTGAATTATTCAGAAATTGAAACGAAAAAATCGTACCCACTGGAGTCGATGGAGGAGCTTGTTCTCGGTTTCTCGCTGCTCGAGTGAGACGCCATATTCACTTCTCTGAAAATACTGCGAAGAACGCTTTAGTATGAATTCAGAAAACAAACTACCCCAAACGTTATTTTGAATGACATTACAGTCCTAACCTGTTGAATTATCAATGAATTGAGTTTTTGGTCTTACATGCGTCCCCTTTCAAATTGCACCTCTGAGTTGTATTTTGGATGCAAAATTTTGGGTCGTAATTTAGTTGGGATTAACCCACTTGCTTATATGAATATATGAGTTTAATAGTTCAAATTAAATTTAAGTTGATCTAACGATCACATATGTTTAGTAGTGTTTGAATTTGATTATTTTTTTTATAAATCCAAATCATTTGAAATTTTAAGTGTTTGTTCTTCTCATCAAGACGCACCAAATAAAAATATAAAAAAAATTATTCGCGAAAAGCAAAATAACCAAAATCCATCCAAAACTTTTTTAGGATATTTTGGTCAATTTATTTTATGTAAAATATTTTTTTGATAGTTTTTGAAGATTCACTTATTTATTATGAACACACGACTAAAATTTCAAGTGATTTAGATTTGTAAGAAAAAACTAAAATTCAAACACTACCGGACATCCGTAATTGTCAGATTGATCCAAATTCAATCTGAGACGTTGGGCTTATATGTTCATATGAGCTAGTGGGCTAATCCCATCTTTTTCCATATAATTTTAATAATATAGATTTAAAAATCTTCGGATCGTAATTCACAACCAACAAAATCCTTTTCGAGTCGAGGTTCTTAAAGAAAAATATGGGATGTGTTTTCTATGACTTAATCAAATATCCTAGAAATAAATCATTTTTATATCATGTTTGGAGCGGTATTGACTATGATAGACCCACATATCTAGACATTTTCAAAAAGTGATTGGAAATGAGGAAAGACTTTATTCTGATTTGACAAATGACGTGGTGACTTCCCACTAAGATATTGTTCCAAGAGGTGTTTGCCAAAAGTACTAACCCATTAGCTTATGTTAAAGAGGCCAGTGGGGGTTTTTCTACTAATATTGTTTGGTCTTTTCTTTGCAGGTATAGAAGAGTTTTTGATAGATTTATTGATGAATACTAATCGCTTATGAAAATGGTTCAAAACGTTTATATCTCACCAAATAAAGAAGATTTAATCATTTGGATTCTTAATCACTTCGAAGTCTTTTCAGTTAAGTCAACCTATGATCTCATTTTTTGTGATCATAGTAGACAATTAAAAGCTGGACTTTTAATGTCGAAAAACTTCATGTGCCTTTAAAAGTACAATTATTCTTATGGATTTTGTGCCAAGATAAGCTAACTATTATTGATAACTTGAGGAAAAGGATTTCATTTTAACTAATGTTTGTATTTTTTTGCAAAGCTGATAATGAGATGGCCCAACATATTTTTTTTGATTGTCCCTTTGTGATGAATCTATGGGATTGGGCTCGTCAATGTCTAAGCCTTTCGATATATATTTCTGAAAATATAAGTCAACTTCTTCATTAATGGCTTATTCCTAGTATCTCAAAGATGAACGTAATATTGTGGAAATCAATTTGGGTTAGTATTCTTTAGTGCATATGGAAGGAAACAAATAAAAGAGTATTTGAAGGGTTGAGCACTGATACTTCAATGTTGAAATCCAATATTTTAGCACTAACAGTATATTAGTTTTCTGCACCTAAAGATGCTAAATTCAACGAAATCCAATATTTTGGCACTAGTAGCATATTGGTTTTCTATACCTAAAGATATTAAATTCATCCTAAAAAGTCAGATCATTGCTAATCCTAGGGCAGTAGCTAGTTTATCTTCTCCTAGATCAAGTCAAATGGGTGATGTTTGGATACCACAACTTGTTAATTCACACAAGTTGAATTTTGATCGAAGCTCTTTTGAAAACCCAGATGCAGCGGGTTATGGTGGATTGATAAGAGACCATATGAGGCATATTATTTGTTCATATCTTGGCCCTTGCGGTGTCACTACAGTTAACGAAGCTAAAGCTAAAGGCTTTTCGAAAGGCATTAAACTCTTGTCAATAATTGAGGGAGAGAAGATCATAGAAAGGGATTCAACAAACATTACAGCTTTGAGTAAAAGCGTAGCTAATGTGTTATGGAGGTTGACTATAATTTTTATGAGATATAGGATATTCTCAAAACTATAACTGCTGAAATCCACCATTGTTACATGGAGTCGAACGTCGAGGCTAGTTGTCTTGTAAAAGGAGTACACTAATTTTAATTGGTGATTACTTCCTTCTAGTGACTTCGTGACCATCTTGCCACATGTTTTTCTTTTTATTGGAGTTATTTGACAGTGTTAAAAAAAAACAAAAGAATTTATGGGAGTTATTTGGTAATGTAAAAAAAAAAAACAAAGAGAGAGATAAAGAGAGTATATTTTGGAGAAGAGCAGAGAGAGGGAGGGAGTGTATAATATTTAACAAAAAAGAAGAGGAGTATGTGTAATTCAAGTGTGATGTATATATACTTACCCAAAAAAAGTGTGATGTATATATAAGGTGTCAACTTATACTATTGAAGTAAAGCACACCCCGAGCCTAAATATGTGGTGCCTGAAAGCCTTGCCATGACATGAAAATCTATTTTTATCCTTAATTATGAAATTTAAAGCTTTAAAAATGATACATATCGAGTAAATCTACAAATAATTAAAAAAAATAAAAAAGGGACGGTCTAAATAATGCGTTAGAAGACACACTATTTTCATGACTTAATTTTATTTTATTTTTTTGCTTTGTCACACGCATAAATGCTTCATTTTTATTTTATTTTATTCTAGAAAGAATGTGGGATTAGATCAATTGGTTGTACCTTGAGGATCCTTTCTCTCTAGAGCCTCTAAAGCCTAGCAAACACATGCCCTAGCATTAGTATTTCACAAAGGATGTGAGACATGGAAATAAGCATAGTAATTTCAAGCACTTAGGCCAGGCATAAAAAAATAATTTGCAGAAATTGTTTTGGAGCAACAGAATACTAGCATATACACCAGTCCATTGTCCACATCAAAAGACTGGAGTGGTGGGGGATGCTCATTAATGTAGATGCATATAATATTGTGTTACATAGACATGGACATGTGTATCAACGTCTTGCGCAAATACCAGTTTCAAAAATAGCAATTCTAAAATTACTTTTTCAGATATGACATGTCTAAATATTGTTTAGATAAACGAATGTGGTGCAATTTTAGATGACACAAAATCTACCTTCACAGTGATATTTCAACTAGCGTGGGCAACGGTCGGGCTTGGGCTAGGCTGGCCTTGCCCCTAGCTGCCCCGACCTAACAAGTCCAAAGAGGCCCTGACCCTATCAGAGCTGGGTTGAGCTAGATAAATAGAAAAATAAATCAAGGAAAAGTAAAGAAAAAAAAGAGAGCCGGGCTGGGCCGGACCGAACTCAACCAGCCATGTCGTGGTCCTAGCCCGGCCCCTAGGCCACATTTTGTATGTGGCCTAGGCCCTAGTTTTTTAGAGGCCAGGCCGGGCCACTTGGCCTATTGCCACCCCTAATTTCAGCAAGAAAAAAAAAGAAGGTTAATAAGAAGTAACCAAGTTTCTTAAGTTGTCCAGAGAATCATTTTTGCCTTGTTGTTGTGTTGTTTGTGGCATATCGACATGGGCAAAAAACCATATACATGTGTGATCATGTTATGTAGCATGTAATTTGTACCCTAAACGTATCATAGTGTTGCCTTCTTTATAACCAATTTCATCCTCGGAAATCTTTTACATTTTCGTCTTTATCAATGTGGGGTCTCTCTCTCTCCTATCATCATCCACCTCCATCAGTGGCAGCACATTAGGGTTCTTGACCACTTGAGCCAGAGTAGATTGTCCCTGCCAAAGATGGCAGAAACCTCATGGCCATGCAGGCCACAGGGTTCACAACAAGATTCAAACTAATAATATTCATGAGCATAAACTATTCTCTCAAAAAAAAAGAAAAAATTCATGAGCATAAACTGAATACAATAAGAAAACCATAAACATTGGAATGAATTTACACGAATTTTCAGATGTGGTCACATTTGGATCAGTAGAGTTCTTCAGGACTGATTCACATCTTGGATTCTAATTATCCCTCTTAATCTAACCAACTAGTTCACGATCAGGATCAAACAACAGTTTTAATCCATTATCACACATACTATGCTTGAAGTATGCTCCTATAACATATACACAACTTATAAAGCACTCCTATAACATATACACAGCATGCTTGAAGTATGCTCCTATAACATATTCTTCAGGACTGATTCACATCTTGGATTCTAATTATCCCTCTTAATCTAACCAACTAGTTCACGATCAGGATCAAACAACAGTTTTAATCCATTATCACACATACTATGCTTGAAGTATGCTCCTATAACATATACACAACTTATAAATATACAAGCATAAGCATATCAGGGGCATATTCAAAAGGCAATAGACATTGCCAACAAGTGAAATCACATTCAATAAATAAAACATCTAGGATTTACAAAAAAAAAGTGCTAGTCCAGATCAAAATTCTGTCCCATAATCCAAATAATGCGATGGACCTTATATCTGATGCCTCCAATGCATTTTCATGTGAAAACAGCTTGATAATCGGCATGGAAAACACAATTCATGAAAACACCACTCAAATCCAATTCCACCAAAATGATTTCTGGATCAAAAAGCCACATCGTTAACCATGACCTTTGTGGTGGAAAAAAATTAACACTGTTGTATCATTTTGTGACCACCTTGTTTATGCAGATTCCTGCAGTACAAGTAGGCGGCTAGGTGCTTCATAAATCATGTTACCTAGGGCATAAAACATGAGCACGCCATGTAGGCCCGTTCTTAATGGAACACATTGTAACCATGAGACCATCGTAGAACTCCAAAGTAGCAATTTGGAAACTGAGCACAATATGAACTTGCTCAGTGCTCCCCCAAACCCGGCAGCTTTGATAAAAACACATTTACCATGCCGAATATGCCCTTGGTCTTTTCTGTCGGGTCTAAGTTGCCATATTCCACATTTGATCACATAACTATTTGCAACTATTTTGTTTTAACACTGATATATAATCCAACTATCCCACAAGATGAGTAGTTACACTTGTTCAAAACAGGGGATCATATTCCACATTTGATCACACAACTATTTGCAACTATTTTGTTTTAATACTGATATATAATCCACCAATCACACAAGATGAGTTGTTACACTTGCTCAAAACAGGGGATCAGATCCAAGGCAAAACATTGACCTGAACATGCATGAATGGTGCTCCTCCTAATGTAGCTCCGTACATATGCAGATCAGTTAACATGAAGCATGATGAAAAATAAAGTAGAACATACATATAAAACATTTGCAGTATAAAGCACATTTGTAAAGTAGACAGAGCATGTTAAGAGCAAATAAAAATTTTGGGTGAAAAGTACTAAAAGGGCATCATCATAAACCAATTCAACTTCTGCATCATCTAAATGCCTTACCCACTCACAATCCCATCTCAAGTATCTTTTTTCTAAACACAACATCCACCACACCCTTTTGAACAGAATATTTACCAAAACCTTGGGTATGGGTCACCTACCCATGAAACTGTAGAGAGATAAGTTCCCACTTTCACTCCCTTCCTAACCATATTATAAAAATGATTCTTCGCCTTTGCATTCTTATAGGTTATAGCTGTTTAATTTTCATAAATCACATCAACAGGTTCAGTAAAAAGTATAGATCACATGAGAGGCCCAGCATCCTCTTTGACTTTAAATATTTCATTTTGGTATGTTCTATCAGTTTGGACAAAATTTATAGTTTTGTACCTCATCAAAACCATATAAACTACTCCAAAAGGCATACTTCAAGTCAAACAGAGTGCACGGACTTTCTCAAAAAAAAAAAAAAGGTAGAAAATGCTAAATTAAATGCTTGGATAAAACATAAGTAGGAATACCTAATTTGGATGTTTGGATAGATAGTTGAGCTGAAATAATCAAAAGTTCTTGATTGTCATATAATATTTTCATGTCAATTCATCCTTGGAGTAGCACTAGAAAGGAACTAGTACATAAAGATATCAGAATCATGAAAATAATCTAAAACTCATTTCAAATAAATTCAGCACTTTTTATGTTCCATGAGTTACAACAAGAGTGCCAGTTTTCTTCTCGTTTGAGAACAGCGGGGAAGAGATAGAAATGCCCAATCGGGAAAAGAAACATTTCAAAACCAAGACAAGATATTATTCCTGGCTTCTTATAAATAATGGAGGATGGAAAATTTACAACTACAATCCAGCTTCGAAGCAAAAACCAGTGAACATATGATACAGAGGATCCACCATAAAAGGCAAGGAGTCCACCCAGTGCCAACAATATTGTGCAATATTGTAGATTGCAATGCATGGAAACTTCTTACTAGCAAAGTAGATGAGACTGCCATGGCCAACACATTTAACTCGTCGAGAAGGCGTTCTCAAAAAGAAATTGCAGAAATCTTCAGGCAATCGACCAATCATTTCCCACTCCATCAGTGAATTATTTAGCTTCCCTATCCCAATCTCCTTGGTGATTCCATGGCTTCCTAATCCCCCTATCATAACCAACCTGTTCTTATGATCCATAAGTCTAACTTCTGTAAGATGTTCAGGCATTTGAGCCTTTAAAGTGAACCAGTGTCTTGATCGAATATTGAAAGCTACAATTGAACAAGATAATTGGTCTAGGATACAGTACAAAACCCCATTACTGATGGCTTTCCATGGAGAGAGAGGATAATTCACAGGAAAGCTCCAGCTCTGGACCCACAATCTCATTTCAGAGTTATAAACTTTTGCAGTGAGAACAAAGCCACCCAATTCTTCAGAAACCAGTTCTGATCCCACTAAAACTACCATAAAAGACCCAGAAGTTTTCTCTCTAAAAAGTCCTGAAACAAGGAAGAAATGTCGAAAATAATTGCTGGGTAGAGAGATTTCACTGAATGATTTCGAAATTGGGTTGCAAACATATAGCCGAAAACCAATTGGGGCTTTGCAGAGCATGCAAAGAACCCCATCCCCAGTGGCAATTGGCCTCCATGGAGATGGGAGAAACTGGAATGAAACACAAATCCATGGCTGATTAATCTCCGAGAGAGTTTCAGATTGGAGACTGCAAAATTGAGAGGAATTTATATATGATTTCCATGATTTGCATACAAGCTCAGATCTTACAATTGTTGAAACAGGCAACCATGACAAAACCCTGAATATAATGTCATCAGGAAGGCCACCCCAAATTCTGTTATCCATTGAACTGGTCTCTTTTGAATCAATTTCTTCTCCATGGCTGCAAATTCTGTTATTTCCTGTGAATTGTGGTTTATTATTGGTCTCTTTTGAATCAATTTCTTCGCTACGGTGCAAATTCTCTTATTTCCTGTGAATTGTGGTTTATTTACACCAGTAATGTGCTCAAAGATCATAATTTTATCCATTAGAATTGGAAACAAGCTAAAGGTAATGCCAAATTTAATCAAAACAAGGACATCACCAGATATAACAGTGGATAATGGAATCCGATGCCAGGTAGAGAGGTGAGTTTCTCACCTAGTTACGCAAGAGAAGCTTATGCGCTTGGAGAGGGAAAGTTGAGGTTCTTCTTCCGTGAGATTTTGCTGGTTTTATTGAAGAGAGAGATAGAGACGAGAGAGGAGAGATGACGGCATAAAATAGAGACAGAGGGCTCAAAGGCATCATTTTGGAAATGTGGGCGGCGAAGCCGCATATGAGAGAGAGAGAGGAATTCTGATGCATTTATTAGGGAGATAAAAGGAATCAATGTGCTTTATATTGGGCGGAGGCTCTAAAGAATCAAAGGAAGGCGCACCTTTAAATAGTGCCAAAATATGTTCTTCACTGTAGAATCTTTATGATGGTTTGGAAATTATTTTAATCTTTAATTATAAAATTTAAAGTTAAAAAGTAGTGTAGATCGAACCGATCTATAAACATTTAAAAATCTAAAGAATTATCAGTCTAAATAATATTTTACAAGATATATTATTTTCAAGACTTGAAATCTATTATGGGTCATATCTTTGCATTTTGAGGTCGAAATGGGTTTTTTTATCATCGAAACAACTTTTTGAATGAATTATTGTGGTGTGCATTGGATGGGGTCTCACCTTTATATAAACTTTCTCCATTTATATATGGTGAGGCTTGTTTATTTGTAAATAGAGGCGCACCACAAATATGTACTGAAAATTGAAGTTTTGGTACAAAGATGCAGTTAATGGTAAGAAAGAAGAGAAATTTTCCCTCATTTGTGAGATAATATAGCCTTCGGACTTTGAAAGGACAAGTAAATACTTCCTAAATTTTTAAATAAGTTGATTTGGATCTTGAAAAAATAATTTATGGTCTTGGCTTCCAATCTTGAACTGCCGAAGTCAAAGCTTCATGTCTTAACTTCAAATTTTCAAAATATGAAGCTAAGATTTGTTTTCTCACTTTGGACTTTAAAAGTGCAAAGTGGGGCCATTTCGAAATTTTAAAAAAGACAAAAGGAATGTGAACTTAGAACACAAAAATCTAAAGAAATTTTCATACTTTAGAGGAACATAAGCTTTAATTTCTCAGGGAAGAAAGTAAACAAAACCTACAGTAGCACCTCTTCTCGAAAGGCAAGGTTTAACAACAATTCCATGAATCATCCATTGATGTACATCTATTTATGTGGGTTTCTAACACTAAGCATGCAAACAGGGGAGCATATTGTACATTTACTCCCATGGTAAAAGAGCTACATAAGGGTTGATCATACCTTCCTTAACTGTACCTTGGCAGTTGCTTTGTGACATTGGCTTGCCTGTTTGTCCAATTAGTGTGGACCTTTGCGAAAGGATATCCCTAATCTACTACAAAAATTTAGAGCCCTCCTTTCGCACCGTTGGGAATCAATCTTTGGAGGGTTACTGTTGCAACCTCTCTTCTGAATATATGAAAAGAGAGAAACCTGAGAACCTTCGAAAGATGATCTAGAGATTTCCCTACTCTTTGTACTACAATTCAGAGAACCATTATGACTTGGGCTTATGCCTCTCTCTCTCACTGTGTGCGGTGCGTTGATTATATCTCCCTTAACTGTACCTTTGCAGTTGTTTTGTGGGATTGGCTTGCCTGAGTTCAATTAGTATGGACTTTGGCCACAGGATGTCCCTAATCTACTACAGTAGATTTGGAACCCTCCTTCCGCACCGTTGGGAATCAATCTCTAGAGGATTACTGTTGCAGCCTCTCTTTGGAATCTACGGAAAGAGAAAAACCTGAGAACCTTTGAAGGACGAGTTAAAGACTTCCCCACTCCTTGTTCTACAATTCAGAGAACCATTGTGACTTGGGCCTATGCATGTCTCTCATTGTCTGCAGTGCCGAATATACTACTCTTCTCACATTTCAAAGTTCTTTTGTTTTTAGGAAGAGTCGTGTTCGACTTTGTCGGGTTTGGACGAAGCCTCCTGAGGGTTGGCTTAAACTCAATTTTAACGGTAGTGTTAGGGAACAACTTTTTGGATTTGGAGATATGTTTCGGGACCATAATATCCCTATTATGGTACGCTTCACACCTACGAGATCAAAGAAGTAGAGCTTTGAGCTGTGAAGATGGGTGTGTCTAGGCTTGATCAGTCGCACCATAATATTATTATTGAAGGTGTCTTCGTCAATGTTATCACGTGGTGCCTGAAGCCGGATATCATACCTTGGAGGCTTAGTGCAGTCATGGATAAAATTCTTATGTCTCTCAAGGGACGAGATACATCTTTTCTTCATGTACATCGCAGCTCCAACTCTGATGCGGATCTCCTGGCTAAGAGGGCTACTGCTCCCTAACGACAGCTATGGTTTTAGCTTGTTGCCTATTTGTGTTCCTTTTTTTCTTGTCCTTTTGTTTTCTTTCTTTTCTTTTTCTTTTCCTATTATAACCTTTCATTATCTTAATGAATTATCGTACTTATTCAAAAAAAAAAAAGCTACATAAGATCCTTCTAAAAACCTATTGTGGCTTTCAAAACATTGTGCACTAATTCCTCCGGACAATGGAATTGCTTGAAAAAATGTTAGTACTTTTAGGTTTGAAAAGTACTGAGGTGTATTTCAAAAGGATGCAGTTTCTATAAGGCCTAGATTTTACAGAAACAAAGTAAAACTTCATCTCAAATCCTTGTCCTGAAGGTACTATGGGGATAAAAAATCTCCATAATGGCTCTAAAATCAATTTCCAACACTGATTATGAAATTTAAAGCTAAAAAAATAATACAAATTTTGTAGATCCGCGAACACTTGTTTTTAGGGCATAATGGATGGTCTAGATAATGTTTAATAATAGCACCATTAAAATCTCAATTTTTGTTTCACAACCATAATAGACAAGGCTGAGATGATCGATTTGAAGGTTTTCCAAATCCAAAAGTGAGTTTTGAGGTGATGCTTTACTTGTTTTTATAGCCCCATAGCCTTATCATGACATTTTCCATTTCAAAATGATATCTCTTTAGTTGGTAAATTCCCTAACAGTTAATGATGGTCCCAAGTTGGGGTTGTCTCAGGTGGGAAGCCAACGTAAACTTTTGCTGCAATTTCCACTGCTCATGCTAGGGCATTCCTAGTAAATGCTTATGGTCTTATTGATAGTATGGCTTTTAATAAAGCTTAATATCATAACAAGATTCGTGTAACATATCCCAAATAGTTGGGATAAGACTCTGATGATGATGATGATGATCTCTTTAGTTCCATAGTATTTTGAAAAATATAAAGCCTTGAAAACTATATTTTGTTTTATTTGTAGAGAGAGAAGTGATAGGTTATTTTAAAGATGTGAATGAGAAAAATCATATTTAAATATGTGGATATCATTTTCACTTATGTTTCAAGAATCAACGGGAGAGAAGGCCTATGCAAAGCGCATGTAGCACACGTGTGAACGTGCAAGAAAACGTGATGGTGCACTTTGACATGCAAACTTGCATGTCAAAGGCAGTGTGTCCACCACTGTGAAAACTAATTGAATGCGATAGGCGTGAAGGTTGGGTGGTAATTGTTAAACACATGTGCGTGATGACCGTTAGGAGATCTGGCCCATGGTTGTAGCTATTGAACGGCCTCATCCAATGGTTACTAATTGTTGATGGTGATTGTTGGTTTTCCAACCATCACAGGCCATACTGAACAGTTGCAATGTTTCAAGCAATTTAAAAAAAAACGGATTGATAAAACGGACCGTCTACCCTCAATCCAAGTTTAGGTCGGATGGATAGGTGATCTAGATCGTGCTTGAATCATTCGGATCGATGATCCAAAATAAAAGAAATAAAATTAAAATTGATATAGAGGTCTATGGGATGGGGATTTTGGGGGACCACAAAAGACATAAGAAAAGCTTAAAGAAAAAAAAAAAAAAGGTGAAAAATGGTGTTTTAGGGGGAGAACCGGGCCAGGACCAATATACAATTCCATAATCGATTCAGTCCCTACTAATTCCGCATCCAGATAAGTAACCCAAATAAAAAATTGTTGACTTCTAAAACACTAGTTATAAGTGATAAGTCACTTCGAAAGGCAATCAAAACCTTTATATATGGGCTCCTTTTTCCCATTTTTGAGATTATTTTACTCTCTCTATCTACCTGTTTTCTCATTCTCTAATTCCGAATATATTTCTAGCTCTAAAACAATACAACTCTGGTGTATACAGTGCCCTTCTTGTTTGTATACATAGAGCCCAAAAGTCAAATTTGAAATTTTTTTAGTTTCTTGTATTTTGACGAGAAATTTGTTCTTTTGAATAAATTTGCTCAATTTATGTATATTGATTACAATGCACAAAAAGAACAAGCTTGATAAAGCACTCTCCTCAATAATAATAAATAGTTCATAAACTTTTCACTTATGTTTCAAGAATCAACGGAGAGAAGGCCTATGCAAAGCGCATGTAGCACACGTGTGAACGTGCAAGGAAACGTGATGGTGCTGCACTTTGACATGCAAACTTGCATTGGCACATAGGGCGCCCATCGCCTGAGCATTTGCACTGGTCATGGAAATGAGTTTTCGGCACGGTAGGCAGTGTGTCCACCACTGTGAAAACTAATTGAATGCGATAGGCGTGAAGGTTGGGTGGTAATTGTTAAACACATGTGCGTGATGACCGTTAGGAGATCTGGCCCATGGTTGTAGCTATTGAACGGCCTCATCCAATGGTTACTAATTGTTGATGGTAATTGTTGGCTTTCCAACCATCACAGGCCATACTGAACAGTTGCAATGTTTCAAGCAATTTAAAAAAAAAACGGGTCGATAAAACGGATCGTCTACCTTCAATCCAAGTTTAGATCGGATGGATAGGTGATCCAGATCGTTCTTGAATCATTCGAATCGATGATCCAAAAAAATAAAATTAAAATTAATATAGAGGTTTATGGATGGGGATTTTGGGGGACCACAAAAAACATTTGAAAGGCTTAAAGAAAAAAGTGAAAAATGGTGTTTTAAGGGGAGAACCGGGCCAGGACCAATATATAATTCGATAATCGATTCAGTCCCTACTAATTCCGCATCCAGATAAGTAACCCAAATAAAAAATTGTTGACTTTTAAAGCACCAGTTACAAGTGATAAGTCACTTCGAAAGGCCATCAAAACCTTTATATATGGGCTCCTTTTTCCCATTTTTTAGATTATTTTACTCTCTCTCTCTACCTGTTTTCTCACTCTATCTAATTCCGAATTTACTTCTAGCTCTAAAACAATACAACTCTGGTGTATACAGGGCCCTTCTGG